GGGCTCCCGAGCCCCGGGGCGCCGGGGCAGGACCAGCTCCACCAGACTCAGCTACCCTGAATTTGCCCTGCGTCCCCGCGGCTCCCTGTGTTAGGGATTCTGCCCTCCCGGCACCCGCTTTTTGGGGGATGGGCGCAAGGGAGGCTTGGCCGGCCGGGAACTTTGCGTGTGGGGGGTGGTCGTTCCTGGCTTCGGGAGAGCTGATTCTCGCCATTGGGGTTGTTTGACACGCGCGCTTCGCCGCGGTGATGAGTGGAGCCCCGCGGCTTCCCCACCTGACAATGCATTTCCGGGGGCTCCACGGCGCCACGGAGAAGGGGCTATCAGCGAGGGGGCTGTGCCCGCGGCGTCTAGTGCATGTGTCGCGCGTGTTCAGGGGCTCCCAGTGGGCTGTGTCTGCGTAGATCTCTGTGCACCGCGTGTGCGGGTGAATGTGTCAGAATGGAGGGTATACACCCAAGCGGTGTGACATCGACCGTAAATATGTCTTGCCGTGCCGCCGAATGGCCCGCCATCCGAAGAACCCTTTCCGTCCTGCCCTGTGCCCGAATCGAGGTTGCTCAACCCCCCCGGGGTCTCCAGCATCGCCCTCTTTCCTGCATCCTAGCAGACCCTGCCCCGAGGCCAGAGCTGCTTGGTGCGGAGGGGAGCCCGAGTTCGCCGATTCAGCTCAACCTCTCTACCCATCCCTTCCGCAGGGCCGGTCAAGGAGTGTGAAGAGGACCAGTTCCGGTGCCGGAACGAGCGTTGCATCCCCTCGGTGTGGAGATGCGACGAAGACGACGACTGTTCGGACAACAGCGACGAGGACGACTGCCGTGAGTGGTGGGCTGGGACCCGGCAGGGAGGAAACGGTGGGGGGCGCCATGCTCTGCGCGCACGTGGCTGGACACCGGCGCAGGCTTAGCCTCAGAACCCTTCGCCGGGAAACCGCCCGGGCGCCTCCTCCCTCGGGGCCGGGTGGCTCCTAGCTACCCGGCGGCGGGAGCTAGGCGGCCGGCTTCTCCTATAGGGGCTGGGGGCGGAGCCTGGTGCGCTGAGCCAGAGGAGGGTGCGCCACGCCGGGGCTACTGGGCCGGAACTGTGGGCGGGGACGCTGCAGGCCCAGCACGCGTCTAGTTTCCAGCGATCTGGCCCTCCCAGACTCGTGCTCTGGCCCGGCGGGACGCGCGCGTGTTTCAAAGTTCCACGCAGCTCGGGGTGACACCGCGCTGCTTTGCCTGCATGGTTTTGTGAATGAATGGGCTCCCCGGGACCCCTGATTGGCTGGGCAAGGACCACCCCATAGGCCCCCGTGGCTGGAGTGGCCAATCGTGGAGTGGGCGGGTGTGTAGTATTGGGGGGACGGGGGGGGGGCTTAGGCTCAGGGGCCCCGCCCCGGTCACACCCCCACGCTCAACCTCCGGGTGGTAGGTGCTGGCAAGGCCCAGGCGCGGTCTCTGGTTGTTTTTTCTGCGGAGTCATGGTGAAGACGTTTTTTGAGCCATTCTGGTTAGCAGATCATGCTCTCCTGCTAGCCCGGCCCGTGTATGAGTCATGGGGCATATCAGGAAGGAGGGAACCAGGAGGAATGGTTTGATTCCTGGAAAGGGCTGGAGGAACCCGAGGCCATGCTTCGTGAAGCCTCAGCGTGTACAAGTGTCAGGCTGCCTTTGTTGAACAGGTGTTTGCACAAGCCCAGGCGCAATTGATGTTAACCTTCTTCTCAGGGTGTTAGGGTTAGGGTTAGGAAGCTAGTTAGCAGGCAGTTGCCCGGTAGAAAGAATGTAGTTCCAGGAACAGAAAAACAGGGCTCTTCTGGAAACAAAGACTCAGGCTGATATTTATCCATCCTTACTGTGTGTCTGCTGGGTGTCACCCTAGAAAACAGCCCACCCCGCTAACCGGGGACTATAGGGAAGCAGGAAGGCAACAGGGACAGAGCCACGCAGTGTGCAGGTAGAGGGTCAGTTGGACAGGCACCCTCTCTGCTGAGTCCTTGAGCTTTCTGTTTGCCAGTCAGCCTCACCGCCCACTCTCAGGCCTAATCCAGAGTTGCCTCTGTGACTTGAGCATATCGCTCTCCCTGCCTCGGTTTCCTCACCTGACTACTTGGGGTAATACTTTGTGCCCTGGTAACCTCGCGGGACTGTTCCAAAGACCCATTCTACAGATGCCACTGGAAGTGGTGAGACTAGCATGTACTGACCACCACGTGTACTAAGAGCTTATCTTACGTAAATTCCTTTAGTTTTCACAATAGTCCTATATCTCAGACTGAAAAGACCAGGGCACAGAGACATTAATAATGTAAACTTGCTCCACGGCATCTGACTCCACAGTTTCGGTGTTTTTTGTTTGTTTTTTTTAATGTTTTTGCCATAGGAAGCTTGCACTCGCTGGAGAGAGAGAGAGACAGAGATAATGAGAGAGAAAGCGAGAAATCACTCCTCGGGGAGGACAGGTATGCCACAGTCCCTTCTCTCTTCTGGGGTTTTGGGCACTCACGTGTACGCACTTGGTGTGATTTTTCAAGCCACCATGTCCAGACTCAAACTGTCATTGGCCTTGTGGGAGTCCAGCACCTTAATCACTACCCCACCTGCTAGCCCCCAAACTCTACAGTTCTTACCTAATCGTGACTCTGACCATTTCCCAGTGCTGTCGAAGTTATAAAAATGTCTATGCCTGGGTGAAATACTGGATTGTTGAAGAAGTCATGATGGGTCATTTTTCTATGCAAAAATGCATCCTGACTTTTCTGATGACCCAATATCATGAGGCTTGTCACTGGGAGCTGTTCTTTTTTTTTGAGAGAGAGGTTTTTGCTATAGGGTACATGCACTCGCCAGAAAGACAGAGAGACAGAAGGAGAAATCACCCCCCAGGGGGATGGCCACACCTCAATCCCTTCTCCTCCATTCTCCTCTCGGGATCTGGGGCACGCACGCACGTGCGCCCGGTGTGGGTTTAAGCCACCAGGTCTGGGACTCGAACCGCAGTCGACTAAATGGGAGTCCAGCGACATAGCCATTACGCTAACTGCTGGTCTCTGGGAGCTGTTCTTCAGCAGTACCTTTGCAGTGGGAGTTGCTGAGCCCGGGCAGGTTAGCACACTCTGTGGGTTCTGGTCTGGTTGTACCTTTTCTCCCTAGCTCTTTCTAACAGGTCTGTGAGGGTGTCCATGAAGAGCAGAAGCTATTCTCGTCAGCCTCATTTGTGGATAAGGATGCTGGCTTGTTGAAGTTGAGTGATTTGCCCAAAGCCTCGGGATGACAGAACATGGTCAGGATCCCTGCCTGCCTCCCAGCTCAGAGGCACCACTGCCACGGTGGAGCGCATAGTGAGGAAGGACACAGGAGTGTGATCTAAGTGCCGAAAGCCGTTCTGTAAATGTGAGGCTGTCACCTTTCATATGCATGTGAGACTTTGGGCCAGATGGTGGGGTGAAGTAGACTAATGTCTGGGTGACCCCAGGTGGGGACAGGAGAGTTCTGATGGACATCTGGGCTCCTGCTTTGATGCTGAGACGGGTGGGGTGGAGTCACGAGCAAGAGTTACTGAACAAGAGCGCATGTTGTCAAGAGCTTGGAGTCGTCGCTTTGCTAGTGGTACCGAGTATTGGTCATGCATGTCTTAATTTTTCCGAGCTTACCTGCACCCACAGAGGGTCGCTGGCCCTCCGTGCTGGTTATGTGTGTAGAATGTCTTCACAGATGGCTGGTGAGAAGGGAATGGATGAGTGTTTCTACCTCCAACGTCTGTAGGAATGGGCTCCTAGGTCCAGCCTGGTGACAAATTCTGTAGCAAATCCAACTGCATTGCTGGAAGCCACCTGGCCAGCCTCGGGTTCAGGTCCCTGGGGCCACTTGAAAACACACTGGGTGCATATGTTTGCTCCCAAGATTCTGATGAGCTGACGAGCTGGGGAAAGGAGATCTGGTGTGGCAAGACTCTGTTAAGGGTGCTTCTCTCTCTCTCTCTCTCATGTGCATGTGCTCTCTGTAGTGAATAAAAAAAGGAAGAAAGAAACTTTAGGAAGGAAGGAAGGGAGGGAGGGGTGGACGGAGGGAGGGAAGGTATTCTTAATAGCCACAAAGGGAAACTGAAGAAATGGGTTGGGGTTTGGGGTGGCTGTGTTGGGGCCAGGTGCCTGAAAATGCTCTTTTCTCTCCTTTCCTTCCCCATCTGAGGGTTCCCCCAATTCTGGGCCACCTGCCCAGGCTGAGTTTCCTTTAACTACTAAAAAAAACGAGGCTGCTGGCACCTCCCTGAGCAGCCTCCTGGCCTCACACCCGACTACCTTCTTTGGTTCTCCACCCTCCAAGAAGACCTGAACTACCTCCTCTGCACCTTTCTAGACCTGCAGACTGGGGGTCGGAGTTTATAACTAAAGTTGATGTGAGGAGCAAATCGGTTCAAGCTTTCGAGAAGGCCAGAAGGCAGGCCATGAATGCCCAAAAGCTGGAAGGCTCCTAGAGGAGGAGATAGCTGAACGAGGTCTTGAAAGATGATAACTATCAATAGTACGATTCTTCAGAGCTTACCATTTAGAAATGGGTGCTATGGTCTCCCATTATAGAGGACACTGAGGCTCAGAGAGGTAAGGTGACTCCCCCAAAGTCACATAGCTCCTCGAGGTTGGTGCTAGAACTCAAACGAAGACTTTCTAAGTCTTGGTCCTCATCCACAGGGAGTGGGACTTGGCCCTTTGGAGTCACAGAGGGAGCCGACAGGATGGGGAGGGGACGAGCTCCTGCAGCTTCAGTTCCCAGCTCAAAGGACCTTCAAAGTAGAGGAAGGGACTGGAAGCCGGAGGGGCAGCTCAAGGAAGCCCAGGGGTGGCCCAGCCAAGGAAACTGGGTGGGATTCCAGGCTGTGGACCTAGGTCACGTAGGCCAGCTGGCCCCTTAGCCTCAGCTTCCTGTTGCTCCCTAGCGTCTGGGGGCAGAGGTGGGGATGCTGATCTCTGGCCAGGCCCAGAGTAACAGTGACCACCAGTAAGTAGCACTCAGCTGGGCACTTGCTGTGGCCAGGCCTTGTGCTGGATTCCGCGTGTGCCTCCTTGTGTCCCCTATTCTAGACAGATGCAAACCTACGAGCTATGAACTATTGGGCTGTCAGCAAACTGACACATTTTGGTATAGAACAGAAAAAATACACATGACTTTTCCAACACCCCAATATTCCCATTTTATAAAAGCATAGAGGGGTTAAGTAATTGGCCAAAGGTGTGTGATTTTTAGCGACATTGCTGGGGTATGAATGCCCAAGTGTGCTGTCTCAGCTACTAACTGGTCACCCCGGGCAAGTCCTCCTGGTCCTCTGTTTCCCCAGCTCAAGGCGACATCTATTTTGGAGAGTTTTTTTTGCTATAGGGCGCATGCACTCGCCAGAAAGAGAGAGACAGACAGAAAGCGAGAAATCACCCCCCAGGGGGGAAGGCCACGCTGCAATCCCTTCTCCTCCATTCTCCTCTCGGGATCTTGGGCACACATGCACACGCTCCCGGCATGAGTTTAAGCTACTGGGTCTGGGACTAAAACCATGGTCAGCTTCATGGGAGTCCAGCAACATAGCCATTACGCCAACTGCTGGTCCCTCGTGGTGACACCTTAAGCCCCTTGCCCCTGCCCCCACTGACCCCCGGGAAGAATTCTGTGCTTCTTTTGTGGAAAGGCTGGTAGACGGTTTTTGCTCTTATCCTTCTTCCCTGATTAGGCTTCTCTGGGTCCCTATCCTCCCAGCCCCATCATCCCTCCATCCCAGGTTTAATAAAGAGTGGCCGCATTGAGGTCTCCCACAGCCAGGAGTTCATTAGCTGGGCAAGGCCAGGCTG